CCTACCTGGTTGGCAATAATGACCTAAAATGAGGCCTAAAAATATGCTTAGTGCAGAGCCCAGCCCTGAGTTGGGACTGCAAAATGAAAACTATTTTTGCTGTTAAGAAATGATTAGCTAAAAGTAATTTACTTTTGGGGAGAGTAGCATATTAACTACTCATGATTCCTTAGTTTCAACAAGTTTGTGAATGTTTAGTTAAAACAGATCTCCATAGACTGAGGTATTTGAAAAAAAAAAATTGTTTGTGGGGCAGGAGAGAAGGCCACAATTGGGAAAGTGCCTAGAGGTGGGGGACAGCCGGATCGAGGAGAGGAGGTCAGAGGAAGCCAAATCCAAACGTTATTGTGTCTTCAAACTTTTGCCCAGAATCGCTCCTGCTTTCAATTTTATTGAAACATTAAGAATACACTCATTCCGCCATAGCTGATTTGGCTCAGTGGATAGAGCATCAGGCTGTGGATCAAAGGGTCCCTGGTTCGATTCTGGTCAAGGGCACATACCTTGATTGCAGGCTCCTCCCCAGCCCAGACCCTGGTTGGGGCTCATACAGGAGGTAACCAATCGATGTGTTTCTCTCACATCAATGTTTCTCTCTGCCTTTTCCTCTCTCTTCCTCTCTCTCTAAAAATCAATGGAAAAATATCCTCGAATGAGGATTAAAAAAGAGAGAGAGAATATGCACTCATACCCTTGAAAACAATAAGTTAAGTGAAAGAAGCCAGTCACAAAAGACCAGATATTGTATGATTCCATTTATATGAAGTTTTTAGACTAAGCAAGTCCATGGACACAGACAGTACATTAGTGGTTTCCAGTGGCTGAGGGGCTTGATCCCTGTGTGGAGGCAGCCAGTCAATGATTCTCTCTCATCATTGATGTTTTTCTCTCTCTCTTCTTCTTCCTTCCTCTCTGAAATCAATAAAAATATTTTTAAAAAGAAAAAAAAAAACAATATATTTATGTCCTGCTATACTAATGTCTAAAACTAAATTTTTAAAAATTTCACTTTACTTTTTAAAACAGTAAAAACAACTGAACACATGTAGAAAAATACGTGTATCAACTACTTTAAATTATACCTAGGTTGATACAACTTACAAAGTTCAGTTAAGGTTTTCACTTTCTACATGTAAAATAGCCAATATTAAACATAGTCTGAGATCAACTAAAGGACTTGTATGCATGCATATAAGCATAACCAGTGGACATAAGACATTGGGGGATAGGGGAGGCTAGGGGACTGTCTAGGGTGGGGGGATAAAATGGACACATATGTAATACCCTTTGTAATACTTTAAGCAATTAAAAAAAAAAAAAACATAGTCTGCAATTTTGTGAACTTCAGAAGATTTGGCCACGGGCATAATGATTTGGCCTCTGTCATGAGCTGGCGTGCAGTGTGCAGTAGAGATGCAAAGGAGCTCCTTATGTCCAGGGGTGATATTCAAAATATTTTAAAACTGGATGGAATCAGGCTCTAACCAATCAGAATGGATGCCAGCTGGAAGCTGCTTAGCTGCTGGAATTGGAGGAGTCTGGGGTCCAGGAGGAGGGGCTAGGGAAGTTAAATGGGGAGGAATGAGGAAAAGAGGGCACTTTGAAGCTCAAACAGGGGTGTTAATAAGTGATATAGAAGATTTTAATATTTCAGTAACTGGCTAGAGCTGTTCCAGGGCATATCTGTCTACATTATCTCTGGTGTGCCTTAAGAGTGTCACCTGACTCTCCGAACATGGCCTGGAAAATCTTAGACTTTTAGCGATGACCTATTCTACTCCTGACATTCTACAGATGAGAAAACCAAGGTTGAGGAAAGTGTGGGCTTGTCCATGATACATGAATAGTAAGAGTCAAAACAAGGATCCGCATCTCTAAATCTCTATCCAGGTCAAATGAAGTAGGGAAAATGGGCAAAACATCCTTACAACAAATTAACTTGCCCAGTCATCATTTTTTAAGATTTTCTAAATCAGACTTGCAATTTATTTTTAGTTGTGCGCATATGTATTCTTCACAAGAGTCAAAGAACTTGGAGGTGGAAAACAAGGGGGCAGTAGGTCCAGGTTTCTGGATAATTATTTTTTAAACTATGTTAATGGAAATCACCATGGCACACATACATGTAGCCTGTCTCAACAGAACCCAGGCATCATTGCCAAAACAAATTTGAAAAGAATAAATCAAAGGCATTTACAGCTTTAAAATGCCATCGCATAATCTCATTTGGTAACTTTTGTCTTCCTAGTTGTTAGACAGAAAATACCAAAAGAGAAATAAGAAAAGATAGACAAAAATGATTCTAATCATCATAACTTTTGTTTAGAGAATTGCCAATAGAATGATGCAGAATGGCTTTTTTGGGTGCTTGGGTTTTGGGGTATGTTGAGGAAGAGAAGAACATACATACTCATTCATGTTTTAATAATAACTACTGATATTTGAATGGCCCTTTACAGCTCTAAAAATGCTTTCCTAAACATGTAGAAGAAGATTATTGACATGGGAAATATTTTTCAATATATTGTTAAGTAGAAATGCAATCTACAAAGTGAATGCACAGTTAAAATGCTATTTTTGTTTAAAAGAAAGTGTACTCTGAGTGTGTGTGTGTGTGTGTATGTGTGTGTATTAAAAAGATGCCAAAACCGGTTTAGCTCGGTGGATAGAGCGTCGGCCTGCGGACTCAAGGATCCCGGGTTCGATTCCGGTCAAGGGCATGTACCTTGGTTGCAGGCACATCCCCAGTAGGGGGTGTGCAGGAGGCAGCTGATCGATGTTTCTCTCTCATCGATGTTTCTAACTCTCTATCTCTCTCCCTTCCTCTCTGTAAAAAATCAATAAAAATATATTTTAAAAAATTTAAAAAAATAAAATAAAAAGTTGAAGACATGTTGAAATACTATCTCTTGTCCTTGGTTGGTAAAATTCTGAATACTTTATTTTCCTTTATCTTTTTTTTCTTTTTAATCCTCACCTGAGGATATGTTTTTATTGATTTGTTGTTGTTTTTAGAGAAGGGAAGAGAGATAGAGAGAGGAACATTGATGTGTGAGAGAGAAACATGGATCAGTTGCCGTTCTCCAAGTTTCTTGCATTGAACATGCATTACTTTTGTAATTAAGAAAAAAATTAATCTACATTTTATATCCATTGAAGTTTATAAGTATCTTGTGATGCATCGTGGCGCGTTTTATAGAAAAGGGTATTGAGGCTCAGAAGGACTGAGTGACCTACTACTTGATAGGCTTCAGTAGAGCTTGGGTTTTCGCTTGGCCATCTGATTCTTAATCTTATGCTTTCCTCTACATGGGACGCTCAGTTCTTAGAGCTGGCTTACGTGGTGACTCACTGCAGCCCATTCAGAGATATCTGTGTGCTATCCTGCAGCAGAGCACCGTCCACTCATTTGTACCTGCCAGTCATTCTGTAGAATCAATTTTCCAATTAAAATTGGTAGCTGTTCTGAAAGTGGCACCAAAGGCTTGAAGCAATTAAGCTCCCATAACAAATTCCTGCAGCTTTATTCATTTGAGTAACCATTATTGCCAAGCCGTACACTGCTCACGGCTCTCAAATGTTAAATGCTTCCCAGAGTCTCCCCTGGACTCCGTCATCTTCCTCCATATCCAATTTCCACTCTTATCCGTTTTTCAAGGTATGAGTTTTTGTGACCTTTTTCTTAAAAACTGCTTCTTGCTTCCTAATAGGTCCTGTTCATTGTAAAACAAACAAACAAAAACAAAGACAATTGTGGGGAGGTAGAGCAATGGAGCCTAATGTGACCACAAGCTCTGCTGGGAACTCTGAAAACCTAACCCATTATCCCATTACCTCACAGATGAGCTGGGAAGGCTGCTGCTGTTGAGTTTCTGGGTGTGGAAGGAGTGCTCGGTCAACTGAAAGTCTCTGCCTTAGGATTTTCCAAGTACTGTTTTACTCTTTGACTTTTCACACAAATTTTGCAGCATTGAATACATGGTCTGGATGAGTGACATTGTTCAACTTGGAAATTTTTGGAGTGTAAGCTCTATAACAATTTTGTGACGTACATAGGGAAGTTCTAGGTTAAGCCAAAATCTGAACTTTGTGTACTTTTGTCAGATGAAACTCTACCTTCATCCTTCAGAGCCAAGCTATATTATTCTGAGCCCAATGATGGCAGTTTCCAGGTGTTTATTTATTTATTCTGCTTTTAAAAAAGAATGTATATCTTCAGCTGAGGATACTGATATTTATACGTAATGTGACCCCGATATGCCTGGGCATCCCAGCCCTGTCCTGAGTTCACAGACACCACGAAGTAGGACTCAACAGTTCTACATTTCTGAACAAGATCAAATTCAACTCCCAGAAGACACTAACAAGAAACATGGGTTTTATTGTAGTTTTCATGGAGTGGTGCATTAAAGGATTATATCAAGCACCACATGGCACACTTTAATAGAAACTCCTATTAAACAACTTGGGTCTCCCCAGAAAGTTCCCCTCAGCCACTTCTTCACCCTTGAATCTTGTCCACATATAGGTTCCAAGTTTCCCTTGGTGCTGGATCTCACTGCATTGTCCCTTAGCTCTGCCCTCCTCCTCTACCGCCTACAAAATAATTTTTTTTATCTAATGCAAAACAAGTTAGTAAACTCTCTTAACCTTGCAGCCTCCTACCCATCACTCCGTTCAGTAAATGAAGAATTTTCTTTGAAATGAATGGGATATTATAAATTACACGTCATTTTTCTTTGTCACAAAGAAATAATTTTCCCTTTGTCACCATAGTGTTGGCCAACATTAATAATTAGAGAAATGCAAATAAAAATCACAATGTAGTATTAACTCACATATGTAAGAATGACTATCATCAAAAAGGTGATCGAATAAGTGTGTTGTACATTTTAAACTCATGCCATGTTATATGTCAGTTATGTCAAAATAAAACTAAAAAGAAAAAACACAATCGTGTTGGCTTACCATGTAAACTTCTGAAACTGTAGGTCCAAATTTCAAGATGCTTTTCTTCAGGAGTAGTTCAGCAAAAGCCTGAGTCTTTCTTTAGCAGAGCCATTTGGTGGGGATGCAAAGAGCAAGGGCCTGAGATGGAAGGAACCTAAGGAATTTAAGGTGAAGAAAAGAGAAACTAAAACTTACATAATTTACTGCTATTTTTTAAAAAATCACATATTATTTCATTGCATCTTCACCACCACATTTTACAGATGAAAAAACTGAGGGCTTAGAGAATCGAAAATAAATTTGAGAAGTGTCATTTCTACTAAGAAGCATAGCCAGGATTCTAAGCTAAGTCCATTGACTCCACAGTCTGGTGTCTTTCCTTATACTCCATCACCTTCCATGGGTTTGGGATTTCCAATATTCAGAGAGCTACCTCCTGTATCATCCCTTTAAGCTCTTTGGTAGCTCAGAATTGGATCTATGCATAGAAAGCCATTCTTCTCTTACACCAAACTGGCTAAATGACAGCTGGACTTAGCATCTCCTGGCTCAGTCTCTCCCTGTCCCATTGCAAATCCTATCCAAGCAGCCACATGAATCTCTGGTATCCCATTGGAAGATCAAAATATTGGTACTATTCGGAAAGGGATGGTGGATGAGTTTGAGTGTTGTAGTAGAAAGTGCCCTGGACCAAGATTCAGGCTACATAGATTAACACAGAATATATCAGTGTGCATCTCTCAATCTCTTTGGAAATAAATTTTTGCACAAAGTGCACTGAAACAGAAAATACAAGAGAATTCACATTTGTGGACTGGGTCTCACAATGCCTCTCAAACATACTACAGTAAACCTTTTTATTTTATATCTGAATCGTTTAACAACTTGACATGAACAGATTCAGTCTTGTATAAAGTAGGACAGAACATATTTTAATTCTCTCTGTCATCTCCAAGAAGCATTATTGTTATACATACAGTACAGGCTGTATGTGGACCTACTTCAGTGGCCTATTCAGTGCCTGAAGTGTCATTGCTCAAGTTACTTCATTTCTTCCTACCCTAATTGCTTTGACTATAAAAGGAGGAAGTTAGGCTAGATACGTTTCCTTCCAGCCATGTGGTTCATAGAGTGGTGAATATCTGCAAAGAACCACTTACCTCATGGAAAACACTATTCCATTCTGTGAAGAATCCCAAATTCAACATATTTACCAGCAATCATAGCTCCCATAAAGTTACGCCAAGTTACAGGTGGGAAGGGGATAGAAGGTAAGGGGAGCTGGGTAGAGGGTAAAAGTAAGACTGAGAGAAATGTAATTGTGGGTTAACATGACATTGCAAAGTTTTTTAGTGTGTGTGGGTGTCCCACCTATTCTAGTGGTTTATCTCCAAGTTATATTTATTACATTTTACAGAACACTAACATTTTACTGCACTAAAGAGCAAACTGTATAAAACTCCCGCTTTTTAGGAAAATCACATTAGAGAGCTTTAGCTGCTTGCCTACATATTTGTGGGGAGAGATTTTTCAATAATTAGCTGTTTGGTTTTTAAACCTCTTCAGATATCTACAAAAACTCCTCATGATGTAGCAGCCTACTGAAAATTAAAGGTGCCGTTTCCTGGATAATTTTGTTCAGTTACACATGAGGTTTGTTCTGGACTAGTACAGAAGACATATCGATTAGGTCAAAGGCAATCGCAAACAGCTTTTGAATATTGTCACTGACAGAATGTAGACCTACATTTTGAAGACACTTTTGAGACTGTGACCTCTGCAACATTTAACACCACTGCTTACTCACCCCTCCTTGAACCACTCTTTTCTCTTGGCTTCTAGGATATCACCTTCTGTTTTCCTTCTCTTTGTCCTTCAATTTCTTTTATAGCCTACTCACTCCCTCCAGAAGCTGTCATTCATCCCACTCTCAAGACAATGGTCACCACCTCTTCCCTGATGAGTCCCACAACTACATCTCTAGCCCAGACTATGTCCTAACCTACAGGCCCAAACATCCACTGCTTATTTAACATCTACACAAAGATGGCCCACAGGGATCTCTGACTCCGCATGTCCAAAATGAACCTCATCACCTTCCCTCTAAACTTGACCCTCTCCCCTAAGTTCCCTATCTCCATGAATGACTCCATTATCCACTCAGTTGCCTGAGCCAGAAAACTGAACAGCATCCTTGACACCCTCTCTTGCGTACCCAACACCCATTCCATCAGTCATCATGTAACTAGAATCTAAACCCGTATGATCTCTGGAATCTGGCCACACCCTTCCATCTGCACTCTGCTCACTTAACCCAAGGGAGCTCTCACTTGGAACACTCTAACAGCCTTCTCCTCTGGTTCCCCTCTTTGCTCCTCTTCATTCTATTCTCCACCCCACAGCCAACGTGAGCTTTTAAAAACAGCAATGTGATGGTTTTGCCCAGGGCTCTTAAATTAAAGTACATACTCCTTTAGATAGCTTTCAAGGCTCCTCTAATTTGCACTCTACACTCCAGACTTAATACTTCCTTTTTTTTTTTTCAGTTCTTCAAGAGATCCATGGTCTCTCCCACCCACCCACAGGCTTTTACATATATTAGTCCCGTTTCCTGAACACTCCTACTTTCCTAAGACCCAGAAGTCTTTCTTGACTCCCTTCCCTCACCACACACAACTAGTTATTACAATGCATGGGAATTACCTATTTAACTATCTTTCCACTAGACCACACAGTCTATGAGGGCAGGTACCATGCCTATATTATATCCTAGCACTTAGCACAGTGCCTAGTACATAGGAAAAGTTCAATATTTGTAAATAAATAAGAAAATAAAGGTGTCACTGCTTTGAACTAGTAGCAATATCAGTGTTCTAACCCGACTTTAATGACATGCAGTGTATGCTAACTACTGAATAAAGAAAAAAGTATTCTAGTTCTGTTCATTTTAAAAAAACAATTTTTAAGCACTGAAACCCTTTCTTCTCTTCAAGTGAATATGTGTTAGAGCCCAGTTTATATAAAATGGACAAAAACAGGCTGCTCATATTGGAACTTGGGTAAGGATACTCATTTATTCATCCCTCTTGATCCTGAGGGATTTCCAAGGAACCCATGAGGACGCTCAGAACTTAGTTTGAAAACTATTGATCCAACCAATCCTACTGCAAATAGGCAGAAACATTCATATCACCTGAGCCTTTTGTTTTTAAAATCTTCTAAGAAGTGCCCAGTAGGAGAAGGTGCTTATTTAGAGAAATAAGGAATCTAACATGAGACTATCAAGTAACCCTATTTCAGCTTTCCTGATGATGCTTTTCAAACCTGGAATGAAAGAGTAAAATACTCTTTCAAAGATTTAGAGGCTCAAAGCACTTCAGGGAATAGATTAAACACATTTTACCATGAACCTTGACATCTGAGGGGTGGTTCAGAGCAGGTTAAAGCATAAGAGGATTTGCCTTGATGCCATCTTTGCTTTGGTTGGAGCCTGAAGTCAATCACACATATAAAGTTCTAATCCTCATGCAGTTGTGCTTTTCCTTATGTTGCTAGCACTCAGCACTGAAGTCTGGGATTCTTTTCATTAGGAAATTTTTCCCATGAATAGTGTTTTCTGCCAAAAGGAACCAACTTGCTTCAGACAGAGCGGCATTGAGAAAAGTGCAAAAAAGACATTTGTCAATAGAAAACCACACAATGAAATGTCTCTTGGGCAGATGAGGTACAGTTTGAAGTAGTTGAGAAGAAAGTCTAGTCAAGGGCTCACACAATACACTGGGCAAGGCCATGGCACACACTATTATCAGAGGGCCACAGACACTTAATGTACCAGTGGAAGCCTTAGCCTTAAAACCAGCAAGAGGTCATTTCCCCTAGATTTCTTGGGAGAAAATAGAAACACTTTCATGTTTATAAATGTTGTTTATTTTGCTGTGGGAAAAACTTGAAGTATGAATAAAATGCTGAGTATCTTAATGACTATATGATGGGGAAGCACAGAACAATCTCAATTAGATAAAAGTACAATAAACATGTATTTTTTTTTCTTTCAATGGCTATATCATTAAAAAGGAATTGAGGAAAAGAATATATGTAATAATGGTTAAATTTAGGAGCTATGGCCATTGGAAAGAGGCTACATCTTATTTTGCTTATGTTTAGCACATTGTTGACTCAGTTAACTCAACATAATTGTACTATAAAAATTTATTCTTTGCTGAAGCAGATGAGGCAAATTGGTCATTTTCTTAATAGGTAATATAGTCTATGAAGCACTTAGATGTTCAATTCAGTTTCTTGCTCAAGAGCTTATAATCTAGCTTTAGTGGCAGAAACAGGCAAATAAATGAATTGTAGAGACTATGGTGGACATTGCAATAGCAGTAAGCACAGAAGAGGAAGACCTACATTTTTGCATTATTGAAAATTATTACAATAAAACAATTTAAAGTAAAATAAACACAATAAAAAATGGTCTGGTCTTAATTTTTACCTTGTGAGATAATTTTAAACAACTGATTTCTTTTCTTTAATTTTTTGGAATTATTTTCTTTTTCTCCTTAAAGAAGTTTTGTTAAGTTATATTTTTGTAGGAATTTATCCATTTCTCTATATTTTCCAGTTCACAGTCTTGAAGTTGTTTGTAATTCTCCTTATTAACCATTTAATTGTCAGCACCAACTGTAGTTACAATCTCTTTTGTTCTAATATTGATCTGCAAAAGGCTTTTCAAAGAAAGAATTATAGGTCTTTTTAATCCTCTTTTGTATTTTTTCTGCTTCATTGATTGCTGCTGTTATCTTTATTATTCCCACTTTTTATTCTTTATTTCATTATTTTTTTTAACTTCTTAGCTTATTAATTGCTAGCCTTCCATCTTTTCTAATAAAAGTATCTAAGGATGAAATTTCTCACTAGTTGTTGCTTTATTTGCATTGAATACTTCTTGATTATCGTATTTTTGTTTCACATATTCTAAGTATTTTCTAATTTCCATCATAATTTTTTCTTTGACCCACAGGTTATTTAGTAGAGGGTATATTAATTTTCTACATATGGTCTTTGTCTAGTCATCCTTTTGTTATTGATTTCAGTTTTTTGAAAATTGTTGATATTTGATTTATAGCTCAGCATGTGGTTAATTTTCAAAAA